GAGGAATATCGAATGAGAGTTTAGGGGGGTTGGGCGGGGGGTGAGAAGGGATGATTTTCTGGAGGAAAACTGGTTATGGGATTGCGCTGGATCAAGGACACGGCCGAGTCCGATTGTGGTGTTCCCCAGAGCATCAAGATGGGCCGTCAGCCGAGAGAGAGGAAAGATAAACAAAAGATCGGACTGCGCCCGGCGATGTGGGGTGATGAAGTACTAGGGCAAGAGTCTAACGAGAAAATATGCGGCTGGTAAGCCGGAGTGGCTATCAGTGCCTCTTCAGTGCGCTTCAGGATGCAAATAAACCATACTGGTTGGTTTCATGCGAGGGCGGGCAATAGGTAAACACGACAAAACCACATTTTTGCAATGTTGGCGGGAACTGAACAAAACGGTAGCTCATTAAACTAATTCGTATAGCAGCCCTACCGAGCACCAAACACACTTTCGACATATAAAGAGACAATGTCCTATTTCTTCACGTATAAATGCGGCTGTAACGTGACAGACGGCGGCAACGGCAACCCAGGCAGAATGCGTCCTGTTGTAGTAAACCAAAAAGAATACCACATGCGTACGTGGTGTTGGAAAGCTGCTGCGTGGCCTCCTAACCGGCGTACTGCATGCGTGTGAGGTGCATTAGACGGAGACTCAATCCAAATCGACGACTGCAGCCAGGCAGACCACTAACACAACTGACTAAGGAAATAATTAGGGTATCCCTACTCCTATCCCGAGTCTGCTTTCCCCAACACAAACGGTCAAATGAGCTCTTGGACTGCCACGATGCAATAGTCAATAGTAAAACTACCTATGACAGCAAGCCCGGTCGCAATTACTATTTCGCCTTGTTGCCCTTAAGGGGATCTTACATAGGTAACATCTGAAACCGTGCTAGTACCAACTCCCTTGTTTAGTGATGTTTCTGGTCGTGGTCGTAGTAGTAGCGCTGACCCAAGCCAACATTGTACTCCAACGTGAGATAGGCCGAGAACGATAGATGGAAGAGGCGCCGATTCCCCGGAGGCCTAAGCATAAGATTTAGGGCTGACCTGAGTCATGCGACAGCATGGATCACTAAAATTTCCATGTTTCACTTTCGGCATGTCTGTAACTATGCATGTTAACTTGTAAGCTCAATAAGTTAAGTCTAGACGCCTGCTCCTCAGCTTCTTCTGCATGAAGATTACATACAATACCTGTGATCCGAGCCTGAGACTATCTCAGTTTACGGTAGTTTATAGGGCTTCAAACTGACACTGGTAGCAGACCACACAGTCAGCCCAGTGTGTGTTGGGTTTAGTGGACTGGGAGTCAGAAGGCGACGGCTCCCTCTAGTCTCCTGGTTATGGGGACTTGGTCGTGCTTTTACGCGCTACTGCACGCAGACAACTAGCCACCTCGGACGGTGGCCTGATGTTGGAGGTGGAAAAGAGAGTAAAGTCGACGGTTCAGCGCATTTTCTTCACTACAGATTAGCAGACAGGCTTGAAGCTATCACGGTGCGCTAAAAGCCATGGCTTCAAAGATTGCCAACTGACGGAATAACTCGGGCCGCGCGATCAGCTTAGTGCGTATTATGTTGTGTGGAGTGGCTGACTGGCGGACTAAGAGTCAGGCCTCCATGGCTCATTCTTAATGCGGCCTCTATGACACTCCCAATCAGATGGGATCCGAGCCACCCGCCACCCCCCTCCCCCTACTTGGTTGTGGTATTCTGGTTTTTGACCCACAGTACACCCTCTCCCATCTCTAGTCTTGATTTTTGCTTGACACCGGGCCCATGTGGGGAAATGGGGAGCGAATGAGGTAGATGCATCGAAAATCTGCTTTCACTATTTTCCACCGCAAGTCACCGTCCCTGTTCTAGAGCACATGATGGACATCGTCGACACGGCCGGTCGAACTATTAGTAGCAGCCAAGGCGTGTGCCGTGCCGGTAGACCTAGCTTTAGTCTCATCTAGTATTTCAAGGGGAATAGATGCACTGAAAGTCCGCTTTACTAAAAATTATATCCCTTCTATAATCAAAACTGCATCGCTGGCTGCCATAGCTTACGGGAAACGAACTACTCAGGGGTTTGGAAGTATTCCTGGCGGTTGCGGTGATGAAACGGTAGACCGAGTATTGGCCATACTGCGTGATAATACTTTAGGAGGGTCGGAACAAAAAGACGGTATCCAATTGAAAAGACAAAAACTGAGCAGAAAGTAAGGTCAGATATTCTCGAAAGTCAGGCTTATCGTAGAACAGCCCGCCCGAAAAAAGTAGTCTAAGAAGGGACGGCATGAGCTCTGGAATTAGGCAAAACCTATCCCGCACACTTTGATATTTCAAGGCCGCTGATAAATCCTCAGTCTCTCCGCATGCCCCCTTCGGCTAACAACCTGCCTGCGGTGCCTGTGTAGTTCTTCGACAAACCTCCGCTGCAATTTTCGGTGTTAGAAGACGAGAAAACAGACTGAATAGATGCGGGAGGAGGAGGAGGGAGTTGGATGGGGTCTGGGAGAAGTTGGGCGGCTGTCAAGATTACCGTCTCCTATATCTCTAATGCGAGGGCAAAATGGAGGCAGACAAGGGGTGGGTGGTATTCGGTAAGGGTATGGAGAAGTGAGTGTCAGACAAACTCTGGCGGTGCAGGAAGCAAAGATGCTTAGTCCCAAAACAGGTGGCAGCACGCAAGTACGCATTAAAAAGGTGAGAGGGGGGCGGGGGGAAAGCCAGACAGTCAGAGTGCGTAAGGGTGTGTGTGGACGCGTATATAGGTGAACGCGCGAGCGCCCACGTGTTGCGTTAGAAAAAAACAGAGCCACTCTATTCTCAGAAGTGTCTGGGTTAACACAAGAGTAGTTTGGAGATAAAATTCGTAGGATAAGTCAAGTCTAAAAGACAGGGTCGGATAATGACGACCATGATGGCAGTGGCGACTTTTCCCCGGGTAGAAGCGGCTGCTGGCTAGCTAGCCAAGCTAAAGCCTTCCTGCTTCAAATCATCGCTGACCAGCCCCGCATTTACCAGTCGTCGTGGATTGGTGGTGGCATATATGAGTAAGTATTGCGAAAATTAGCAGACGACCAACTTCACTCCCGCACGCGTATGTACACAAACACACACGAAAATGCGACAGACAGGCGCATTAAGAAGGCATATCCGTAAGTAGGGAAGGCGTTTTTATTGGAAAAAAATTGCGTTCAGGGACGTGTAGTAAAAACAAACTCAAAAAAGGCATTTACAGACTGCTTGTTGGGCCGAGAGATATAATATGGTGTGGATTATAAAACGTACTGTGAGCGGTCAGTACCCTATTGAGACACAAAGAGAAGATGTGGGGAGCGGACAGAGGATGACGGCAATTATCTCCCCC